GTTTATTATGAATCATGAAATCTTACCATATATGTTGTAGTTTCATTACTGGGTATACAGGATATATCTTGTCATATAAATGTGATTGATTTATTAATCATATTTATATATGTTTAATAACTAATCCTATAGTTTTTTCATTAAGTATCACATATTAATTTGATCATGAATTGTATAAAGGAAAACAATTTCAGACTCATTTACAAATAAGTTCCTGATTTTAAAAAATTAAACAAGTTTGATTCTTTTATTTTTCTACAACAGTATATTCAGCCTTTTTGAGACATAAATATTTTTGATACGTCATTAAGCATGATGAACCCTTCTCATGGTATTTTCTAAAGTATGAAATAAAAATGCACAAAACTGATTCAAAGAAGACAGTAATTTGCAAAGGATGCCAATGACTTAATAACCAAAGCCAATGTCAAAATAAGACAAAATCCCCAAGGAATAGCCATAATAAATCACAGTAAGTTCACAAGTAGAATAAAACATTCTATGCATGAACAACCATAGAAGTGTTCTATGCAAAGAAGATATCTTTATCAGACAGTGGATTTCTCACTTCTAGGTGTTCTCAAAGTGTCTTTTCTGTCTATGTAACACACCACAATTCCTTATAGTGATCTGTTTTCCAAACTATCAGGTCCTATTCAACTCTTGGTCCTTTAGTACTATTTTTGTTTGGCCTCAAAGAAACCCAGACAAATGGCTAACTGTGGCACTTATTAACATAATCAGACAACTGGTCACCAAACTCTCAGCAAACACTTATTACAAAGTTGTGGCTCCTCATCACTTCCTACACCTACATACCCCCTACCCTAAACCTCTCCAGATCCTAAGCTTTTCTTCTTTTTCACCATATTCTCTTTTTTATATGACTTGAGACATTTTGGCTACTTGCTTTCTTGGTTCTTGGTCCTCTCTTGGCTCTCTTTGCCCTCTTTGTTATTGTGTCCCTCCTCTCTTACTCTACTGATCTTGTTCTCTTTTTTTTTTCCTTTTATGGAACCATCTATTCTGCTGTCGATTTTCAGTCTGGACTCTTCCACATGCTTCTGGATGTGTTCTCCCTCATATTTACAATAAAATTCTCCTCAACCATACCTAGAATCAGTCATGTCCTTATTTCCATTCAGTTTTATTTTTTTGATTCTTGCTTTGGATATCCAATCAACAGAAAGAAAAAATATGCCTCAGAACACTAATTGAACAAATAACTATGAAACAAATAAACATTTTCACTTATGAGCTTTTATATTTGTGATTTCTTCTCACTTTAACATTAAAATACTGGAATTGAGGTAACTGTTATGACAGAAATGATTACTTACAATGTTGGTACTATTTGTTGTACATGGATGTGACTAGCATTTCATAAAATCAGTTTGTTCATAAATCAATAATGAGTGTTTATTGTATTCCTCTTAGACTCTATTATTGCAAACTTGTCATAGATAATACTATTAAATTTCTTTTAGAATATGAAAGTACCAGGTTTGGGAACACACAGGTCATTTAGAAATGAATAGACATGGACTAGATTTAAACTCTAAAAAATCTTTATACTAGTGGGGAAAATACATACTTTACAAATAAAGAATTTGATCATTGTTCTAGGTTAGAAAGATAGAATGATATAAAAGAAAAAATAGTTCTGCTTTTATCCTCAATTATACTTAGGGTTTTTATTTGTTTATTTTTTACCTCAAGTTGTAAAGTGTGACATCCTTTTGTTAATTTTAAGGTGAGGAAAAATAATATTATATCCAATATGTTATATTTTGACCTAGATGATAGTTGTATGCACTTTTGGAGACATAAGAACAGCTAAATTGGAACTCAATAGGTGACAGTAAGGGGTTTTATGATCAGCAAAAATGTTTAGCATGAGTAGAACACTACTGAAACAATAATTTCTGCAAATAAAATATACGAGCAGATAGTTGCAGAAATATTAAGAACTATGTTTGATGATTTCAAGTAAACAAATGCACTTTTACTAAGCTATGAAAATAGTTAAAAGTTACTGTGTTTTTGTGATCATGGTAAAATAGGTGTAGCAGATGAATTTCTTATGGAAATTTGCATTATATTCATAGATGGTGGGGGACATCCTTCTGTGTATATGTTTATCTTATTGGTTGTTGAATAAAGCACTGTTTGGCCAATGAGACAGAAAGATAGGTGGGACTAGCAGTCGTTGATGATTCTGGGAAATGTAGTAAAGACGTCTTGTGATCCAGGCAGGAAGTGGCATAGGAGAAAGACTCAGAATATAAGGAGGGACAAGCCGAAAATCTTCCTCTTCCTCCTTCTCTCTTCTCTGGAGCTGCCATGTGAGCCCAACAAGAGAGGAATCATGTTGCAGAGTCCTTGATCAGATAAGTCTTTATAAATATATAGATTATGGCTATGGTTGATACTTAAGACAGAGCAAGCAATGAGAAATTCTAGTCATTGGCCAGCAGCATTGTACCTAAGATTAATCTGTGTTATTTTGGGTAACCACGTGTCAACGGGGCTCAGGCTGTTGGTGTAAAGATTTATCATTACACATAGACAATGTAAAAAAAATTGCATTCAGATCAGTTCCTCATAGATACTAGTGAATTTGATTTTAGAAATGATGCAGCAGTGCATATATTAAAATGAGCATACTAAGTCATGAACTCACTTTTTGATAGAAATACTACTCTGTTGTTTTCTGTTGATATTCTTATTTTTAACATTATACTTATGAAAGGTATTGGAATAATTGTCTTATCTCACAGAAACAAACATATAGTCACTCTTCTCCAGGAATACAAGACAGGGCTCATTTAGGCTTGAAAACATCCTACTGTGTCAGTTACCTATTTTCCCAAGTTTTCATTCTACTGTGTCAATTACCTATTCTCCAAAGTTTTCAAAACTTTTAAGTTTTTTGGAAATGTCTCCATGACATTTATTCTAAAGATAACTTCTATATATGATAGCCCAGTGAACTCATTCAATCCTTTTAGAACAATTCCTTAAGGGTAATCTGCTTATAGTTGATATGTTTATTTAACCACACATTTATCCAAATATATACTTGCATTTCATTATGTTAACATTTCTTTTACCAGGATACTACAGTAATTTTATTTTAATCATTATTTATATCTTATGGACTAAAATGCAGATGAGGGATTAACCAATATGCTTGTACAAATTATCTTAAAATGCTTAGCCATACAAGTGAATTTGTAACTACCCTAGCATTTCTGATCATGAGAAACTAGGTAATTAAAACAAAATTAAAAGGTGGAAATTTATCGCATTGGGATTTTTAAACTTTAATAATACATGACAATGTATATTAACCATTAAGTTGATAGCATATTATGCAGTGTTCCTCAAGAGTGTATAATACAGTCTAATATGTCTTATACATGACACAATCTTATATTCATTACTTTTCTGAGACCTTGCACATTATCATGGCTTAAGATGTAGGACATATTTTACTCTGAGGCTATGCAACAGAATAATATAATGATAAATCAAAGAATAATATAAACCATCAAGTATTGGATTTTATAGCAATGTGTATTGAGTTTTTATTAATAATGTGTAATCTAGCAAAAATTTTCATGAAAGCAGAATGTGCAGAACAGAAATTATAGCCATAACTATAATGACAGTGAATAGTAACTTCAATGGCATTGAACAGATGTTCTATTTTCTAAGTAACAGCTGTTTGATGCTTCAGTTGTACTAAGTTAATGATCTGCTAGTGATATTTCACTTCACAAATAAATTACTATGCTTACTTTTAAAAAAATATATGTAATTTTTCATGAGAATGATAGTACAACAGACTTTAGAAATAAAGAGTTCTCATACTTTTGTAGTTAAGAGGGTGATGTGATGAGGCAATTATTCCTACAAACTAGGAGAAGAAATTAGATTTCTTTAAACAGTGAAGGAGATTAAAAAAATAAAACACAGGACATTATTAAGAGATTTGGATGTATATCCCATCAGACTGCTTGAAATTCATGGGTCTTATATGAGTGATATTTTCCATGGTTTTTCAACTGTGCAGAATATTCTGGTGCTAGCTACATATGGTCAGACCAATTAAATGCAAGACTCCAAGACAGATTCCATTCATTTGTCTATTTTGCAAGTTTTCCAGGTAGTTTCTGCATGTAGCTAAGAAACCACTGTCAAACAGAAAGTCATTTTGAGATGAGGTTTTACTGAGTAGTAGTAATTATTACATTTTATACTTGAAGTGGCAAGAAAAAGGTAATTTAGAAAAATAATGAGTGTTCTTTATGTTGAACATTGTAAATACTTATCACTGAAATACAAGTAAAAATAATGTAATTTGTTTCATAGGTTGCTATTTAAACATTGTCAGTTCCTAAGGAAACTCCCATTTCCCCAAATTCTTGTGGTGGTTAGACAAAAGCAAATATTCCTTAACTTGTGAAGCAGTTTCCTCTCTACAAAAGGGAGCCATTTCCCTTATCACTGGCAAAAGGGACAAATAAATAGCTACCTGTATTGGCTATTAGCATACCAAAGAGCATGCTGGTCCAGGCTTCCTCAGTATCTCAAGTAATTGTCACTAATTTTAGAGTCCATCCTGGTTGTTCTCAGGTCCTCTCACTTCTCCTCCCCCTCTACCCTAAATTTATTCTAGCTCAGGAGCTTCTCCCTCAGCTACTCCTCCTTGATAACCCTGCTATTTTAGTTATGCTTCCTCTTTTCTCTGCCTCTTTTTTTTGCCTCTCTCTTTTGCCTAGTC